CTATCTGGACTCGAAATGCTCAGTTCCAAGGCCAAGTTTCGAAAATCTGTAAAATTCTTTGATTTTTTTAATATATATTGCATTGTTTGCATTAGTGTCTGATAGTTTTTGTACATTGAGACATCGATGAGCTTGCGCTCGCCCATAATTTATGAATTCGAATTGTGAAGTTTGTTAAATTTCGAAGAATAAGCTCATTTCGATTTTTGGGCGACGAAGCACCAAACGAATGGGTTCCACTCGTTTCATAATCTCCGTTGTTCGCGCTTTCGAATAGCTACCAGAATGAAGCATCGGCTACTGGATACTGAAATATGGGAGGCAGTCTGTATCTGGGAAGTTGCTCAACTTTTCCAAAATACACCGAAAAGGTTCGGAGAACATGACAGACAAGGTAACTTCACTGAGGCTATATAGCTGCAGTAAAGTAACAGAAGCACATAGTAGTGGCACATAGATAAATAGCGGCACGCACCAAGATAGCGGTGCAACATGCGCCTTGTGCAACCTTGTCTAGCGGGCAATTGTGCCGTTTTATCCAGCGGACGCTTGTGCAGTCATGTCCAGCTGGCTTGTACAACTCCGTCCAGGGCGGGGCTGCTGTTAAAAGTGTCCACTGCATTGCTGTTCGATATGTACGAGGGATTTCTGTGATTCTCGAGTTATTAATTTTTGCGCCACGGCTTTCGCGTTTCTGCACGTGAACCTAGGCTCACGAGAGGACTAATTTATACACGGGCAGTTTTCCTGACTTTCGAGTTAACAACTTTAGCGCCAAAACTTCCACGCGCCCGTACGTGAGACCAAGGGGTACGTGAGGGCTGAAATTAGCTCTACGGGGTCACGCGCGAGAATGGAATATTTTTCTAAAACTTCAGCTTCTTAGCTTTTATGCTTCCCAAGTTATCGGTTCGGACCCCAAAATTTTCACGTGACCGTATGTGAAGCCCAGGTACATGCAGATGTTGAATTTGAGTTTGAGATAGCATGCGGGTAGAGAGTCCCCCGTTAAAATTTTACCTTGCAACTGTTGCAGCACAGAACACAATTATGCTACACAACCAAAACCCATTAACAAATGGGGAAGAACTACGCGGTCGGTCATCAAGTCAGCACGAAGCATGTCAGATTAAACCCAGGCTGGGACGCACCAAGTCTGCCGGTGCGTTTATGTACTAAATTTGAATTAGGTCAACCGCACGAACGGTTGTTGCTTCACGCCTACCTTGTGCTCGCACTACCTTAAATCATCGCAAATTTTGCATAATCCAAAATAAAAAATTTCTTTTTAGCAGTCGTTTTTATGCGTTTTTTGCAGCAATGCAATGCAAAC